TTTCCATGGGGGGCTTGCATGTTTGGAGCGAACTCATCGGCATGGGTGGCGTTGTGTGTGGGTCTGCTGCCTTTGTTTTGTCTCTAGTGTTTTCTTTTTGGGGGGGGGGAGGATTCATCATATTTCCGTGTGCGGCTTGCATGCTTCGAGCGAACCCGTCGGAGGGGGTGGCGTTGTATGTGGGTTTGCTGCCTTTTTTCTTGTCTTACGTGTTTTCTTGTTTTGTTTTGTTTTTTTCGTGTGTGTGTTTTTTTTTTGTGGGGGTGGGGGGAATAATTCATATTTCCATGGGGGGCTTGCATGTTTGGAGCGAACTCATCGGCATGGGTGGCGTTGTGTGTGGGTCTGCTGCGATTTTTCTTGTCTTGAAAGCGTGTGCGGATGAAATTTCCACGGCCAAAGTCTTGGCCGACTTCGGCGGTGGCCACGCACAGAATGAACGGGCAAAGCGNTTTTGTGGGGGTGGGGGGAATAGTTCATATTTCCATGGGGGGCTTGCATGTTTGGAGCGAACTCATCGGCATGGGTGGCGTTGTGTGTGGGTCTGCTGCGATTTTTCTTGTCTTGAAAGCGTGTGCGGATGAAATTTCCACGGCCAAAGTCTTGGCCGACTTCGGCGGTGGCCACGCACAGAATGAACGGGCAAAGCGGCTTGCTATACCAGTTTATGTGTTGGGTTGTTCTTGTTCACGCCTTCTCCACATAGTACTTTGTGACTGTCCAACCGTTTTGATGTGTGGTGGGTAAGGGGGGGCAGGTGTACGACGTGCATGAAGCAGTGGGTAGTGAACCTCTTCCGCTCCGCTTGATTTGACTTTCTCCTGTGCTGATTTTGGGATATATTGCATAACTCTTCGTACTTGGTCCAAGCATGTCGTATGGGTGCGCAGCCTGGGCTGCTATCGCGGGAATCGTACGTACGAGGTGTCGTCTGATGGGTGTAACCCCACCCCATTGCGAGTCCTTTGGTGGTTAGATGTACTTTACACTTTGGTGGCTTCAGTTCCACGTTTGCTGCCCCTTTGTCGATTCAAAGCGGTTCCAACCGTGACCTCTAACCACGAAAGTATAACGTATTCCTCGTGACCAAAGCGATGAGGTTTACCTCCCTCTCAAGCACAGCCAAGAAATATAGTACGATGTAGAGGAAATCGGTTGTTTAACTAGGGGAAACTATCGAAAGCAGACTGAAATAATTACAAAAAAGAAGGGAAGGAAAAATCACCAGTACATTCGTGTCATGCAGTTAGTGATACGAGGGCGGCACGTCGTGCCTCCCATGAACCCCTCATCATGTGCGAGGGCTGAAGCAGACCTAGCACGGACGAAGTTCGTAGTCATATGCAACGACGGCCGAAGAGTAAGCACGCGACGACACATAAAAAGAAATAAGTACGAAGCATGCTGCCTCTTTTCATGCCGCACACCCGACCCATCTCCCTCCCTTGCGTTGATCTCCTGCTCCTGGCGCCGACAGTTCCTCGGAGCACCTCATATGCGTCGTTATCTAACCTCAACACGGCACCCCTACTTCATACCAAGTAGCGCGAGCGTGTGACTACCCCGTCCCAACGTCGATTCCTATTTCAAGTACGTCCTACTTAGCCCTCTCCCTGTAGGTATTCCTCGAGGGACGGGGGTTGGAGGTCAAAGTACTGTGCCGTCGAATTTGGGTAGAAGCAGCAATGGCAATTGGTGAGAATGCCGGCGACAGAATACTGCTTGCCGAGGCCACACGCGCTTAGACCGACCTGCTGCTTGTTGTGGTAGTCTACGTAGGGCCACTGGGCGACGACTCGACCGAACCCCCATTCCACCGTAACCCTAACACTGCTCATGGCGGAATTGAAGCCAGCTTCCTCAGGGGTCAACAAACCCCGATATGGCGACATCAACCACGGCGAGTTCTGGTACGCCGGATCACCGTACAGGTAGTACGGCTCTCCCTGCGCATCATTGAACGATTGCATCAACACAGCAAGCAGGTCGCTCTCCCCTAGTAGCGCTACATCGTGGCGGCGACCGAGGGCAGGACCCCAAAGCTGGCGAATGATACCGTCCGGAGAATCTACTGCCTGATACTTGAGGGCATGGGGACGTTTCCATCCATTATAGTACATACGTTGCCAACGACCAGGACGGCAGATTTTTCGAATTGTGCCATCGAGGAAGCCCCAACAGCGTGGAAGGGGCGAGCCGCGGCTAGATATTGCTTCACAGAAGTCGCCTATCTTAGGAAGAATAGCATCGACCTGCAAATCCCGCACAAGGTGTCCCCATCGATCGTATATTGCCTCAATGGTGACATTGAACACCTCGCATACGAGTGTCTCCCCCATGCCCCAGAACAGGCGATCGCGTAGCAACGTCGTCGGCGCAGAAAATCTCCACAGAGTGACTGCCAAACACAGACGTGCCGGAATTCTTAGCACTCCTCTCCCCCCCCTGCCCAGTCACAAATACGAGGCGAGATCATAAACACAACACGGGAACAGGGAGTTGGGGTTGTGGAGAGGTTGGGGGACACCTCGGCGGAGAGAAGCAACATAAGCAGGGTAACCCAACGGCGTTTCACAGCAACACTAAAGCACACAATGGCGTTTCAATGTTGTTTCCTCCAAGAGCGGATCGTGGGACAGGCACAAGCGTGAGTCACCCCGGGAGAATTATCGCTTTTACACCTCCGTCTCCTACACCTAAACCTGAACCTCTTTTTGGTGGCCGCAACAGCTGTAGTAGTCGCCTAAACCGACTGAGGGAGGCGGACATCTTCAAATTAAAAAAAAATCCGGAGTGATAGGACTACGTCCAGAAGAGAGTCGCTCCGAATCGACACCACACGCATTGCCCCAACCTTTAGCCTGCATATGCAACAACACGCCTTAGCAGCATTTACAAGCCTCAATATTCCCGAGGGATCCACTGCAGCACGGTCGTTCGCTTGTGTGCGGCACTAGACTAGTCTACTGCTGAACCAAGAGGACCAGAGGCATGAGATTTCATGCCGCAGCGTGCCATCTCACCTCGAAATCACGAACTCGGGTGGAAGCTCCAGCGCCGCCAAAAGCCGACGGAAGTGGGGCTTCTCGAACCTCAACAGTTCCTTGAAGTCGAACCCACCAAGCACCTCCATGAAGTCGTACCTCATGCCATCTAGCTGTGTCGGCGCGACGAGCTCTTGGAACGCGCGCTATTTCACCACCCAATATGCGCCCAAAACGAGTAATAGGTCCTCCTCACATAGCGCTCCGCATACTGCCGCGAGCAGGAGGATGCGCATGCGCTCAGCGTACCGCACATGGCCCATCCTGGCACGGTGGAGGCGCGCCATCGGCGGTGGTGTGCGGAGTGTGGGCCATGTATGCTCCGTGTGTGTACGCCCGACTTGAGGGGGGGGGGTGGAGCTCCGTCGATCATTCACACCAACAGGCACACGTCTCGCCGCCTTCGCGGGCAGGTATTTTTCAACTGCCATTTTTCGCCAGTTCGTGCCGAACTGGTAAAAATGAACTGGTGAAAGGCGGGGAAACCCCGAAATATATGCCGCGTACGACTCATTTCTGCCACTGCACGCCCTCTACTACCGTGAGGATGCGAAAGAACGCAGGGGGGTGCGATTTCGTTCATGATTTTTTATCGCACGGGGGTGCGTTAAATATCACCGGCACGTGCGATATCGCCGATCCCCATGCGACAATCGAATTAATGTAGTAGGCCCATTTCGACCCGAACGTTTACAGCACGGGGGTTGCGACAATAAATAATATTAAAACCCGCACATACGCGTGCCATGATACTGACGAAACAATATACTCTAAAGCAGGTTTACTTCTAGGTGGTAGCTGGGTCTTTCGACGCACACCCCTGTGCGAAAACTCCGATACGCGTGCGGTACTGAACAAACAGTGTACTCATCAGCAGCAGTTTACTTCTAATAGCCGGGTACTTTCGGCGCACACACACGTGCCAAACTCCGAGGTACGTGTGCGATACTGACCAAACAATAAACTCTACAGCAGCAGCATGCTTCTCACAGTAGTATCTGGATGCTTTCGGCGCACACACACCCGTGCGAACACTCTGATACATGTGCGTGCGATACTGACTAAAACAATGTACTCTACAGCAGCAGAATACTAGTTGCTGGGTGCTTTCGACGCACACCCCCGTACGAAAACTCCGGTACGCGTGTGATACCCAGCATGCCACGGCCGTACTGCAGAAGACACAATGGTTCAAAATGTGTTAGGCGATGCCGCCATACGAAGTACTATTCATCACTTTCACGATGAAACCGCGACGTACCTCGGGCGCAGTGAGTGGACCTTTCACACGGGGTACTCGGAATCGGTGATATCGCGCGATGATCGCATTATATCATTTCATTCTTGGTTTTTCACGCAAGGGGGTGCGATATCACCGGTACCTGTGACATCACCTAACGAACCGTGCGTTCTCTCGCATCCTGACGGGATAATAATTTATTTTTACGAAATGCGTTCGTGATACTATGTCGTCGGCGACGTCGTCGAAAGGGCATGCATGCACACATGCGTACATGGCGCGAGAAACAAACAACCGGCGACGACAAGAAAAACGAGAGGAGGATTGGAGGCAGCCCTGCCTGAGCAGGGCAATTCATGTGCAGTAGCAGTCTCAGACCATTGATGCTCCGGTTGAGACATGCAAACTTCCATTGAGAAACGACCCACTCACGCCATACTCCAGAAATACACACGAAGTCTCCCCCAACTCCAAATCAGGGAGAGGACCAAAGGGAAGCCTTTACTGCGTGACGCCCTCCCCCCCCCCCCCCC